GGAAGTGATAGCAAAGAAAAGGCAAAAGGCCACACCGCCTGTGCCCAAATATTTCTGTGTGGCGGAGTACTCCAAAAAGAGCAACATTTTCCATTTCTAAAAACAAGAATTCTGCTCATCTCTTTCTAGGTCACTCATAGCATCACACAGATAACAGATCTTAGCAAAATGTCACCAAAGATAAAGCTCGGGGTTTTCAGAACAGTGCCTCTGAAGACGTGCACTTTATTTAGGCGTCTGCACGGAGGGACAGTTTTCATGTGCTCTTTCCAAGACTTTCTGTCAAAAGCATTGGCCCACATAGTATCATCATATGGGGGGATTCAGCAGTTAGGCAGGCAGGTCTGTGTGTTGCGACAGGGAAACGAAAGCTGCAATGGTCCATTTAAACACTGATCGCAAAATAGGATGGAGCAGTGGCCACACCGTTGTCTGTACCACCAACTTTGCTGTTTTCTGACTAACTGTGACTCTTGAGGACTGAGTCACCTAATTGATAGCTGCCAGTGCAACAGAGACAGCTTGCGGGCTGGAAACAGCAGCTCAAGCTTTTATCCCAAAACAAGCCTCTTTGCGCCCTGCTCCACTAAGACTGAAATTCGGTTGCAGCTGAACAGCTGGCAAGCAGGAAGGCCTAAACATGCACAGTGTACCTCATGCAAGGGAAGATTCTGCAAAATGTAGGGCTGATCGCTGGCTGCAGCATAGCTTCTGGAGTTTGATGCCAGAATGGTGCTTTTCCTATCAGGTCCTCCATAGTTCAAAAGCCTTTACTCGGAGAAAATGGAATAATCCCTATTTTCATGAGCTAGTTAGTAAAATAATGATCTTTGGCTAAAATACGTATGTATATCACTAAGCCATAATCAAAATATTATTTTCTTTTGAATACCAGTTTATGTTCAAGGTGCTTGAGTCCATCTGTGACCATACAGATAGCAGCTGTGCCGTGTCTTGACACGAGCAGGGAAGATACATAGGCTTGTTTCTACTTTTCTCTGTTCTCGCCTGACTGGATCAAAGTTAAACAACCACAGACAGAAGGAAAAATAATCGCTGAACAGAAGTGGAAATGTGAAATACGTCAAATGATATTCTTTTTTTTTTTTTTTCTATCGTCAGAGGTGCTCGGGGGTTGCATGTGGCCAATAAGAAAAGAATAGACAGGCAGTCTGCAGAATGGGAGATTTCTGACGGTGAAGTCCTATTGAGGGTTTTTTTTGGAACAGTTACATATAAGACACCAAAGGAATGGCTCAGAACTACTATCCCCACCTACAGTGTTTCTTTCCCTTTTCATTTACGGTAACAATGTTCAGGCAACAGTTTGGTTTTTTCAGTTCCCACTTACTATTCATTGTGAAACTTGGTAAGATGGGCTCTATTTCAATGTTCCTCCACGACTGTACGGATTAACACATTTTTCTTCAACAGCTTTTTGCTATTATAAATGCATCCGACTGTTTGGACCATTCCTTGGGACAATTGGTTGGCATCAGTCTGTCCTAAAACTTCTACCATTCCTCTCATTTTTATTCATGTTTATAGAAAACATATACAAATGATTCTAATTCCTTGTATAGCTGCCGAAATACTGAGTATCAAAACTAATCAAAGAAATCCTCATCATTGGTACAGCAGGCAACTTAGTAATAGGCACGATTTGAAGCAAGAGCAGATCTGTAAGAACAAATACTGAAGTAAAACTCCATGTAACAAGAGCAACAACTGCATGGCAAACCACAAAGATCACCTTTCAAATTGAAATATTCCAAACTTTTTAATGGTAATAATAAGCCCCAAATCAAAGCTTTTATTCTAAGCCAGATTGTATACTCAAAACCAAAGGGATTCATTTGGTTATGCCACAGAACAAGGAATCTCTCCAAACCGCACTATGAGTGCTGCCATTGCTTTTACTTAGTAACTACAAAAATTTTTATTTCAGGTTATTAATGCCTTATATTCATAGAAAAGTAAATTTAAATTCATGAACATTTAGTAGCTCTGTATGTAGATGTGGCACTGGGACATGGGTTAGTGGGCAATACTGGTGGTAGGTGGACGGTTGGACTGAATGATCCTAGAGGTCTTTTCCAACCTCAATATTTCTATGATTCTATAGAATTCAGCTGAGAACAGCATGAAATATCTGAGTCCTAGTCTATTTAGCAAAACTTGAGCTTCTGTGATAGCAAGTAAAAGCCCCTCTTACTGCCATTTCCAACTCTCGAAATAATACCCAAGCTATTGACAAAGTTTCCAGGAAAAAAACATTTGCAGTAGTTGGATATCATATTTAAAGTAATCTTGAATGAGAATTTTTGATATCTGACAACAACTTTTTCAATATCTGGGAATTATCCACTGCTTGAAAACTCTCTGGTGCCTGAACACTCCTTTGGTAGACAAGTTTGCCTTTGACCATTGTTTACTCTTTTGTGTCACAAATAGTACCTATCGCTTTCACTGCCTTACACTAAACCTGGTTGATAGGTACATCAAAATTAAATCTAACTAAATGTGTAAACTGTGAAAATTAGGTTAGGAGGCAGTTTGATTGTTTGGCAACCCTTGCAGAGTCTGTCTGGGGAAGCTGCCAATGCCTGTGCTTCGTATGTACACAGCAGATCTGTTTGTACATCACTGCTGCCATTGTGTCTCTGGCAACTGAGAAAATGTGACCTGTCAGCAGTGGTACTTCTGTCCATGCCAATGCTGATTCGACTTCATATCACCACCTCCCACCAGCTTCACAAGAATTAATCAAAAGTCATTTATGAAAAGCTTTCACTATACAGCAGTTTTGATTTCTGCTCCACATAGCCCGCAACAAAAATTCAAAGAGCTGGGCCGTTTGACCTCATGTAGCCTTTTTCCTCCAACTCACAGCACTCTCATCAGCACTACCAAAATCATCACATCTTTATTCATGGCAAGTATTCACATTGCTAACTTTTGCCACCTTTTCCATCACACCTCTTCCTGGAGTGACCCAGTGCCATACTGACCTGCAGAGCTAGGGGCTGACAGGAAACACGCTGTGGGGGCTGCCACGGAGCTCCGGAGGAGTATGGGCCGCTTCTCAGCAACTTCTGTGCTTGGTTAATTCAGTCTTTTTCCGAATAATTTTGAAGAAATCCTGTTAGGGAAATGCACTTAAAACTTCTGGTTAAATCCCACGCTTAAATTCAAGAACTTCCCTCCCCCTCTCTGAGCAGTGCCCCTCAGCCCCCAAAATAGCCACTGGGTTTCTGCGTAGCTAATGCACACAGCTCAACTTCCACCACAGCGGTCCTTTGGGGCACTCCTGTTGGAGGACAGTGTGAGAATATAACAGTTGACAGAATGCTGATGTGAACACTACATGTTTTCACACAGATTTCCAAGTGCTGTCTTTAACTGTGCTGCATCTTTATTGTATTGCTTGTCATAACTTATTATACCTTTACTTACATTTTCCAAAATACTCTGTGGTCTCAAATATAAAGTATGCTCCACATTCTTGATTATATAAGAAATAACTAAGCTTATTATAAGCTTATAATAAGCAATGACAGACTTTTAATTTACCAACAAAATAAAGTCATCTTCCTGAATGAATCAACAAAGCCACCAGGCCATTTTCAAGTAAAGCGATACCACATTGCCAGAATGACAAGTACAGCATTGCCACACAGACAGTAAACAAGAACTGAATTGGAGAAACATCATCTGGACTTTCTATAGTGAATCATCTCTTTTTTTTTTTTCTTTTTCTAACTGGAGGTTGAAGAAAGGGTGATTCGTTCTACTCTGAATTCATTTTCTGTTTCATTACAGCTGTTTTCTGCAATGTCTTTTGAGCAATCTTGGAAGTGCAGCATAATAGCCCACTTACTATTAAATCAGTCCCAGCAGAAGAGAAAACCAAGTCTGTGGGAAAGAAGAAACATTTTCTCTCTGAGGTTTAGGAATAAGTGGAAAACTGGGGAGGCAGAGTTGAATGAAAAAACCCTTCTCAAGGCAAAGAAAATTCATCTTTTTAAAACAGTATCCTGAAGAGCACAGACAGTCAGTATTAGGTGAAAAATCATAGAATTACAGAATCACAGAACAGTTTGGGCTGAAGGGGACCAAAGATCATCAAGCTCCAACCCCCACCATGGGCTGGTTGCCACCCACTGGATCAGACTGCCCAGGGCCCCAGCAAACTTGGCCTTGAAAAACAGCAATGTGGGCTTTGAAACTGTGAGGCACGTGGAAGCTTTTCCTCAGCCAGCAGAAAAATGAATTCCTCAGGTGGGCTGGTGAGGCAGCAACACGTTTCGTTGCAGCCAGTGATGGTGATGCTGCAGATGCACCGGGCCAGCCAGAGCTGGGGCGAGGGGAAGGAAGCGGTGGAGGAGGATGCACCGATACCACTGATGCAGCACCTAACACTATGGGAGCACCACACGCCAACATGCTCCCAGGGCCAAAGTGAAGTGAGCATAGGCTGAAAGCTAAAATAACAAGGAATCAGAGGGATAAGCCAGGTTTGAGAGAGGACCTTTTTCACAGATGGGGAAGCCTGGTTTTGAGATTCCTAACAAGGAAGCTGAAATAAAGCCATCATCTCTCTTACTCAGACAGCCAGCATGACCACAGAGCTATCGCTAGTTGTGACTAATGCCTAAAGCTGAGAACCTGCAGGTCTTGTGTCTTGCAGCAGGAGGTACACACTAGGCTCTGAAGTCACTTACTTATCTACAAGATAAGTGTCACCTTCTTATCTACAAGACACCTACTGTAACCATATCTTCACCTTTTTGAACAGAAGTTTGAGGTGACCTGTGCAATAAGGTGTTCTATACCAATCACAGAGCACTGGATGTTGTTCTTACCTCACCTGATGAGATTCAGCATGGGCAAGACCATCTTTGCAATCATGGGAGATGTATCTCAGCCATATGGCTCCTCAGCAAACAGCCACCTCTCACATTAACCAGAGGACATTTACTACTTGGAGGGTGGGGGAAAGCTGCCAGAGTGCCCCAAAGCTGCCTGTGTAATGGTGAAATAGCAAAAAAGCAAGCAGGATACAAGTCTTTCACACACAGGCAAGAATAAAAAGATATGGAGGAATGGGAGTGAGAAAAAAAAATATGTGGGGAGAGAAGAGCAGGGGCACAGTTTAAAAAGAGATGAAGATATCTCTTCCTCCTATCAGAACAGTCTCCTTAAATGCAACCTATAGTTCCTTTCTTTCCCTTTAGTCATTTAGAATGTGAACCAGTTCATACCTGTGTGCAGGCCTTGTGGAGCAGGGCTGTGGGAGAGGTGCATGACAGCCTTCCTTTCATCTGTTAGCACTGGCCTGCTGTTATACATTCCTGCATCTCGTGTATGGCTGCAACCCCTGCTTCTCACTTTTGATTGCCTGTTCTTGACATTAGCTGTGAATAAATGTAAAAACATATCAAGTATAGATGCAGGGAAGAGGAAGCAACAGCTCAAGGTTCCTCCAATCCTGTCCTAAGACATATCCCAAATATTTTCAGTAATGTATCCTTTTCTTAAACAGGCACAGCAACAAAGAAGTCTTTGTGTGGGACTTAGGGTTTCCCCTTTTCAACCCACACATGAGCAACAACCTTAACAAGAGGAGGAGTTCGTAGAGTAGCTATGATGTCATTCAGTTAGTTGTGCTCCTCATCAAACCTGTCAATCTACAACCTCCTGATGATGTGTATGTAGTGCATTCAGGCAAAAATCCTACAGTGGCTGTAGAACTGTAAAACATTCTAAGCTGGAATGTACCCACAAGCATCACTGAGTCCAACTCTTGGCTTCACACAGAACCACCCAAAAATCAAATCATATACGTGAGGGCATTGGTCAACTCTCCAACTAGGTACCCTAGGGTAATTTAACCAGTGGTGGATCTGGGCTGCTATTCTTGCACTGTTGTGATGTCTACACTACTACAAGCCTGCTGTTGGGAACCTGGCACAAGATTCTTTCCATTCTGTCAGGGAAGCCAGAACAGGTCAGTTTCACCCATCTTTTGCAGTACAGTGCTACCCATAGGATTGCTGTTCCTCAGATACTTCAAATCCTGCTTCTTCCACTGTGCTGTACGTGAAGAGTTTAGCTAGCCCCTTCATCAGCCAGGCTTCTGAAAAGGAAGCTGAGGGCTACTCTTCTCCTTTCCTACATTCTAGAAGAAGTGCACTTCATCTAGGTCTAGTCCTCAATCATGGAAAAGATTGCCTGTTTTACTACTAATGCTGGAGCTCTTCTGTAAATTTTTTCACTTCAATTTCCTGGAATAAAAAATAAGTCATTTCCCCTCTGAGAGCTCAGGGAAGAGAAGACTGGCACAAAGGCTCAGCCTACGTAACTGAATGGCTCCATAAGGTGCTATGGCATAAACCACCAATCAGTATAAATAGTTTGCACAAGACTTACCCGCTACTCACACTTCATTATTTTTAAACATCCGACTGCTCATTTATTCCAATCTGTGTGATCTACTAGGATTACTTATCGATCTGCTCAGCAATACACAATGTGTGGAATTAAATAATGCAGGTGAACAACGGTATTTGTGCTGCTGCTGTTCTCCATACTGAGTCAAATGAAGCATCTGAAGTCCATAGCGCTGTTAGCTCTGTTTGCTTTGCTAGCTCTCCCAGCTGTTCTCACACACAGTCATGCAGCATACAAACAACAGTACTATTAGTGAGCAGATCGAGCACTATTTAGATCATTGGCGCTTGAAGGGAAGAGGTTATTTGCTTTCCTTCTAGATAATGGTCTATCAAAATATAAACCGCTCCACCCTGGTTTCAAAACACCAACATGCTAAGGTGGGGTAAACCAACTGCATTTTCTTCCTGTCTTTTTTTAATAAACATTTTTGTTCATCTTCAAGCAACAGCAGTTAAGCAAAAAAAGAAATCAAAAAACAAACAAAAAAAACCACTGAGCAATGTATAGGAGACTCACCTCAAAGACAGTCTTTTTTGCCATCCACACACAACATCATCTATTTTTGAAAAAATCATGTTCCTAACACCTGTGCATAATACAGAACATCAAGTTAGAGGACAGAGAATGCAAGTACTGGACTGGTCATAGTGCTGTGATGCCTGTCTGCCTCTCCTTTGCAGAGATACTGAAGCAGCTCTCAGGGCTTACTTGGAGAGGAGCAGAGCAAATTGCACCAAGGGCTTGTGCGGTGCCTGGCCTAGTGTTGTCCCTGTGGGGAGAGCTCTGCCATTCTCCTGTGTGTAGCCAGCACTCATGCTGAAGCTCTCAGGCTGGAGGGCAACTTCGCTGTGCATCAGTGTTATTTCTTAAATGCAACTGGGCTTTCTCTGCACGCACTCTAAGAAGCAAAAATAGGGAGAAAAAAAAAAAAAGATGCTTCAAAAAACGATTTCATTTTAAATACTCTAAATCTACTTAGGTTTCTAAAGTACACAAAAAGTAGAAGTCTGATTGCCATACAAAGGAGACTTGAGAAGAAAACTCAGCTACTTGTGCAAGTTAAATTTGAGAATGGTCACCTCGTGATGACTTATATTGGTTCTTGAATATACATGGACCACATCTTTCCCCTAAGCACTCACATCTCCTTAAATCTCAGCCTTTGCAGGAAGGATTGGTTTATCTTTTGTAAGAGTGCATGGGTTTTAAGTTGAAAGACTTCAGGGCATTTCATTAATCAGAAGTAAGAGATAATAGATACTTTGTGTTTTAAGTTACTTCCTACTGTATCCTCTTGATAAAATGAAGGCAATACGCCCTCACAATTTTCCATTTACACGGAATTCCACCAGTTTAATCAAAGTGAAACATAAGGTACTGTTATGGTCCTTGTACCTTCAGATTTCCTTACTGATAACCCACATACTATCCGTTAACCCATTGCATCATTCAGAAGAATAAACAACTTGGGCTCATTATACAGGAAGCTGAACAAAAAGGAAATAGAAAATATTAGCTTTCAAATATATATATTGGCCTTTGCACAGTTCAGACTGACATATTTTTATAGATCAAGGCTCTTCTTCAGAACAACCTGCTAACTAAAGAGAGAAAAAGTAGTTCCTACTTTACTTTACTAGTTTACTTTTTCAAGTAAACTATTTTGTTACACAATTTCCATCCCTAAAGGATAAAGACTGCAAACGTCAAGACTTTATTTGTATTCTTTTATAGCAAGGTACGGAAAATCATTCAGGCTATACCAGCGTGAGTGTGCATTTTTCTAAGCATCCTCCTTCTGGTTTAGTAATATTACCACATGTATGTCAGCGTGTATGTCTATGCTCCATGGACTTGGGACACTAATTGCTTTAACAATGTTGAGATGATTATAAAAGCATTGTCTCAGCTTACAAGGTTGAAATAAATTGAATATGAACTAACTTTGCATAAATTAGGAAAGCATGCTGGCATCAAATTGTCAAAGGGCAAATGTCTTCACACATAGTTTCTTTCTTTTATGTCTTTAATGTCTGGGATGCTTTCACCTCCTGTATCTAAAGGCAGCTTTTGATGGGTGGGGCTGTCCATGTGCAACAGCTGGCATGGGGTCTGAGCCCCAGGGAAGAGCAACAGCCACAGGATGGAGGCGCAAGACAATTCTTGGTGCTCCTCCTCTGAGCATCAGCTCTCATGGAGAAACGGCCAAAGAGATGTTCCATACTTTATAATATCGTATTCAGCAATTAAATCCACAGTGTCTTCCAGGGTAGCCATTGCTTAGAGATTGGCTGGCTCCTCCTTGCAGGGATCACTGATTTGTAGGGGATGAAAGGGATCTTTAAAGATCATCAAGTTCAACTCTTTGCTAGAACAGATTCCCTACAGTATGATTCCAAATGTCCAGGCAGGCTTTGAGTATCTTCAGAGAAGGAGACTTCACAACCTCTCTGGGCAGCCTGTTCTAGTGCTCTGTCACCCCCATAGCAAAGAATTCTTTTCTCATGCTCATATGGAACTTCCTATGTTCTAGTTGTTGCCCCTTGTCCTGTTGCTGGGCACCACAAAAAAGAGCCTGGCCTGGGCCTCTTGACTCATGCCCATCAGATACTTATAAGCATTGATAAGATCCCCTCTCAACCTCTTCTCCAAGCTGAAGAGATCCAGGTTACTCAGCCTTTCCTCATAAAAGGAGATGCTCCAGGCCCCTCGTCATCCTTGTCGCCCTCCACCAGGCTCTCTCTAGGAGAACCGAGGAGCCCAGATACACAATACTCCAGATATGACTTCACCAGGGCAAGGGGGAGAAAGGCGAACCTTCCTCAGGGCCAGGGAAGAGATGAAGTTGTCTTTACTTCCTTTTTTACCCCCTCTTTCATTCACTTACTAAGTGCTGTGTTCAGACACGAGATTTTTGCTTTTGTTCCTCCCGCATCCAGCTGCAGGAGGGAGTGCTTCTTCTTCTTATGGCCAATAATGAAAAAAGCACCTGATTCTAGATAGAAAGTTTAAACAGCACCAGTCAAGGTGTAATTCTATCCAGGTTATCCAGTCATCATTCAAGCATCTGAACAACAGTCCACTGAAGAGAAGGATGCAACACAGTTCTATATTTAACAGGACCTGCTCATATAGCTACATCTTCCAACAGCATACAGATGACCTAGAAAGTACATACTACTACTGCTGCTACAGAATTAGTGTCTTGCTGAGGGATTGGACCCTAACCAGGCAGCATAAAATACTCCTCCTTGAAACAAGCAGAGTACCACCAGAAGGAGCCATTTTGCCAACTCATTTGTAACTGGGAAAACATAGTTTTCTCTTTTCTTTCCTTCTGTTTTATGATTTTCTGTGGGATAAGGGAGTCTTATCCACTTAAAACTGAATTAGGTAATGCAACTCCCAATACAGCGTCTTACCACTACAATAGCTTGTTATTAAAGCTGGCACACAGATTAATGATTGAGGTGGTGTAAGACTTTATAATAAAGGTTATTTTTTATTTCTTCTGTATTTGATTAAATTTCTTTACAATGGGAATACTTTTCTCCATAATTTATATCACAGTCCAAGAAAAGGGATGGCGGGGTTATTTCTAAGGCTACTTGTGAAATAGATACTATATCTTAAACCTTGCAAATATAAAAAACTACTTTGGGTTAAGTACAGGTAATTTTCTTATACATATCACATTGTTCATATTGAAGACTAACTTTTCAGTCACATTCATAAATTTTCAGTGGGATTGAATCACATTATTTGGTCACATTAGGTTACTGCAAGGCTGCTTGTGAACTCTGACACTATTTTTTGCTTATGCTATTGCAATAAAGAAATGTAACCAACAGATTTATACTGAAATTCTTCTAGGGTTTACCCATTGGGAAATCAGTACAGAAAGAAGATTAATTCTGGGGGTATTTGGTGGTTGTAGGAGAATTCCTTGACATATAGCAGAGAGCTACATCAGTCCTGATTCAGTAAAGCAGCTGCAGAGGTGCAGAGCAGAAACGCAACACTGCCTGGTTGTGTATGCAGGCTGAGCGCTGTTCTGTACCACACAAAGCCCAGGCCCTGCTGGGTAGAGGTCCTCTGCATGCATACACTCATGCTTCTGCACACTGACACATTTGACTTTGAAGTGGACCTCACTTTCGCAAAAGGCAAAATCCAGTATATGCTAGGTATTTTTTTCTCTGCTTTCTTTCTGTAAAGCATTAGCATAAGGAAATAAGCCCTTGTACTTTGTACATCTTCTCACCTTTTCTGATAAAAGAGTTCTCCATAGCTCTGGGATATTTGCTGCTCTGGTCTGATGATAGGGGAAGCACTGGCACCTGCTAATAAACCAGTTTATTAGCAGGTAAACATAGGTTAACAAAATACTGCTCACCACAGCACTGGACATTAGACACCTGTTATTAAGTTGCTGTGGCATTCTGCAACTTCACTGAAACCATGGCGTAAGTCTGCTAGATAGAGAAGTGAGAGACAGCAATAAAATGAAGCAGGAGCTGAACTCACACGTGAGAAGATTTCATCTTCTTTCTGTCTCTCAACAAAAGCATCTACATAATTATCTTCTGGGGATGTTAACTGTATTTACATTGCTGACACTATTCACAAGTCCACTAGAGAGCAGCTATGCTGCACATTTACTGTTTTTTCTTTTTTTTTTTTTTCTATTAGTTTCTCTGACATTTACTGCACTTAACACAAATGACTAATCAGACCTGAAAAGCTTTCCCAGTACTAGACTGAGGAACAACACAGGAGTGGACTCGTTGCTCTGATTCAAACCAGTGTAATCTCTTTCTTAACTCTGATCTGCTTATTCATACCAAATTGCAGTATCATTCTTACAGAAATCCAGTACCTGAAGGGGGCCTGCAGGGGAGACTTTTTATAAGAGCAGGTAGTGACGGGATGAGGAGAAACGGCCTTAAACTGGAAGAGGGTAGGTTTAGACTATATATTGGGAAGAAATTCTTCACTGTGACGGTGATGACAAACTGGAACAGGTTGCCCAGTGAGGTTGTGAATGCCCCCTCCCTGGAAGGGAGCCAGGCCAGCCTGGATGGGACTTTGAGCAACCTGGTCTAGAGGGAGGTGTCTCTGCCGATAAGCAGGGGAGTTGAAACTAGATGAACATAAAGGTCTCTTCCATCCCAAACCATTCTATGATTCTATGAAATCTTCATTCATATTCTGGTTTGGGACATTTCATTTAAGCTGAAGAAATGCAGAGCTGGTTTAGAGGCTTTTCCTCAAGCAAGCCTTGAGTAACCTGCATCATGCTTTCCACTGAATACCTTCAAGGAAGGGTGGGAGTGCAGATTTTTTTGGAAGAAGTCCATTGCAAGGTTCAGTCATAGTGCTCACTGTGCTTCCAGCACCTTGCTTGTTCTTTCCAGTCAATGGATAAAACAGGAATTGAAAAATAGATAACTGAAGTTCTTATGTATCATTTCCCCTAAGCACAAAGAAGTCTGTGCAGATCCATGGCATAGCAGTCCACATCAACCCATATAAGGCCATCTTCCACTTACCTTATGGAAGATGTTAAACAATAGCAAAGACTATTTTACATAAATAAGGAGGTATAAAAATGTTATTGTATAAAATATTGGCTTCTCTTGGTTATTACTGCAATATTCGAAATTAAATGGGTTAAACAGGCCTTTCTGTAAAACATCAATCAGCAGGCTAAATATAAAGGCACACTTCAAATTCCAAAAGTCACACTATTTAATTTGTAAAGGAGAAAAAAGAAACAACAACAAAAGAAATGACTGCTTGTCCCAAAAGCTGGTAAGTCAGATTCCTTAGCTTGATCTGTTAATGAACAAAGCAACTCATTCTGGCCCTGTTAGAAGAAGAAAAGCATTACTAAAGTAGAAGAATATCAGCCTTTCTCCAGCCTCCAGACTTCAGTCAGATATATGCTTGCCAGGTTCTCCCTAAACCACGCAGACTTTTTACAGCTCTTCCAGATTTTTCCAAGAGAATGACTGGTAAAGGCTGCACTGCCTAAAGCAGGATGCTGGGGTGAACCTTACATTTGTAAGAAGATGTATGCAGTGGCACAAAACACACTGCAGTTTCTGAGATGACAAAGCAAAAGGAGTTCACTTCAGGATTAATATTCTGCATCAGACTATGAAGAAAAAGTTCTTTCCCAGCTCATAAAAACTATTAAAAAGAAAGAACTGCAGCCTGAAATACTATAAACAGAACATTGAAATGCTCATGTGAAAGTGTCAACATGAAATATTTTGATACTTCAAGTTATTTGTTTCAATAGAAAGTGAATAAAATCAATACAATCAAATAGGAACTGATAAGAGGAAAAATATGTTTTGTTTGATTCTTAGGCACTGAACTAGTCTAGCAATAGAAGAGACAACAAGGCAAGGCAGAGATTGAGCAGGGAGAGCTTCTAAGGCATTTGACTATATCAGAAGGTAAAACAGTTCAATCTTTGTTCAATGTAAGGATGATTTAAGTGAACTGAATGATGGTTTTTATCTCAGGAAAACTCAGCATGGCCAACACAGAAACGTGGAGGGCAGTGGCAAGAAGAAAACAGGATGAAAGCTACAGTGTCTATTGCTTTCTTCAACATGCAGCATTTTTAATGGCACCTTCCAAAATAGAGTAATGTTCGTCTTCAATTTCCTCCTGCAGATCCGCCACAACAGCAATCTGAAAGAACGTCAGCCTCCTTTGATCTCCCCATACTGTTTTGGAAATTGCGTATTCGTCTCCTCTGTTCCTTCAGGCCATTTCTGACAAAAGCATTCTAACAAAAGCAAAGAGTTTTCCAGTTCTCATCTTTAATGTTTCCATTTCCCTCTGTGCTGCCACCCTTTGTGTAGCAACATCATATAGAATTATTTTGCAGACTGTAGAGTCCAATTGGCATCTTCTTACTGCATGGTGCACGGCATGGACACAAGTATGGAAGATCAGGGTGGTGAGGCTAAAAGAACTGCTGTCTGTGCACTGTTTGACCAGTCCAAAGGGCAAGTAAAATACAAGGTTCCTACTGATTTCAGCTCTTAACACTTTCTTTTGCTTGTGGCTGGGCTACAAGCACATACACAGTTGCCAGAAATGGTTCTGCTGATGGCAACAGTGGATGAAGTTCTGAGCTGAAGGTGAAGGCTGGGTAGGTCACATCCACCCTACCAGGGCATGATGCAGTTTGGTCTGGGTCATTCTGCAAACTCATTCCCTGAAAGCAAACACAAAGCTAGTGAATGGCTGGTACTGGAAAGAACGTCCTTTTGAGTTGGGCCCTCAACACTGGGAGATTAAGTCAGTTGAATGGGAGATGTAAGCTGTTGCTTTTGCTCCACATTGCCACAGCACTGCAATGAGAGGACAGGGGTGCCTGTTGCTGGTGTACAGTAATTATGCACCACTGCCTATCTTCAGCCACCAACAGGCAGGTCGGCTGGGAGGAAGACCAGTCCCAGGAAGACAAGTAGAAATGGAGTGGCTTAGAACCACTTTAAAATGCTGCCAACCAGGTATCAAGAACTGTAGTTACAGAGCAAAGGAGAAAAAAAGAGGAACAGATAGTTTTTCATAGGGTTCAGTAACAGTGCAGTTGTGTAATCCCTGTGATAACCAGCAGAAGATGTGGACTGAAAATTCTGATATACAGAGGAAAACAGAATCTTAAGATACTACTTACAGGTAAATTTCGGATGCTCAGAAAGACTGTACTTCTCTGGTTATCTACATTTTCCATGCTTGCAATGATTATGGAGGAAAAAGGTTGTTTGCCATTGATTTCAGCTAGCACCTGCAGCAGACCCTCATTTTTCTCTCAGCTTCCCACAAGTCAGTTCAGGTAAACAGCATGGTATGCTCAAAGAATCTGGTGTCATAATTCTGCAACAGGCATACAAATAACAGGCAATAAAAAATGTAATTGTCCAGAAAACTAACTTAAGATAGCAATTTTACCATTTGCTTATATACTTACTTGCAGCTGCAGTTGTAATGATTATCAGCTCAGGTTTCTGGAAAGAAAACACCAGCAGGACAAGACATCTTTATTTTCCAGTGAATTGTACAATAAGAGAGTAACACTTCTTTTTTTCCTTTTTGAAAAGAAACAAGTCTCCCATCAGAACCAATGAAGTTGTAGGAAGGAACTAAAACCTATGGCTTTCTATTGATGTTTTGATATAGAAATGAAATTACTGAAAATTATTAACATGAAACTTGACAGTCTCCCTCAACAGTAGGTGACGACACTTTCAATCTTTGCTCACAAAGAAGTATTATATAATCTTCAACTAAAGCTTCCTGACAGATTTTTGTACTCTCACAGATGCAATGAGTAGTTGCTTTTCACCTAGGGTCATTTATTTACACTGGAATTGGAACCAGATGATCTTACAGGTCCCTTCCAACCAAGCCATTCTATAATTCTATGACCATATATTTTAGCAAGTAACTTTGTTTTGTACCTCAAATGTTCTTTTTCTTTTCTTTTGTATTTTATTCAAAGGTCTTTGATCATCTTGTTTCCCTAGATTTGCTTACTGTGTTTAACCACAGAGAATGGCACACATGCTCCTGGGAATTTACTTCTCAGAGGCAATACTTCTGTTGGTGCTAAGTGTAGTTCTGCTGCTTGTGACAGAAAGGAAGGTGATTTGCCACTATTAGAGGTTCAGCTATCTATTATTGCCACAGCTCAGCTTTCTGGGGATTTAAATGATGGCAGGCACTCACCAGAGCAGAAGGCAGAAGCAGAAGTGTAAATGAGGAAGATAAGAGTCCATGGTGGGTCCCAGTTCCAGTTTGGCAATGCAGTCGTGGATGTATTTCTTCTGAAGCTACACAGCATGGACAAGCCAAAAAATTTATTTTCTCCTCCTTCCAATTCCGGTTACACATACCTGCTGTGATATCCTTTGCACCAACATCAGCATATTTCACTTGTCAAGGAACTGCATTATTTCACTGTACCTAGCATAAAATAAAAGGGGAAAAAAAAAAATGCATTAACTGACTAAGAGATGACTTACACTGTTTTGCTTGTTTGATGCAACTTCAACTGTTTAAGCTGCAGATACATCTTGCATTTGCCCTGCATGTGAACTTATCAGTTTGCAGAGACTGTCTGAAAGACAACAGATACCTTGGTTTATTCTAAACTATCTTACTTTGTTGTGTTGCTTTTTTTTAATATCATATTCTCACTTGGAAGGTTTTTATTTCATAACGTCTATGTGACTTCTCACAGTTCATTTCTCTGTTTGTTTCCCCACCCGATAAATACTTTCTTCTCAACTGCAACTCCAAGTATTTAATTTTAATTTCCTTCTTAGAACTTAATCAAAATCAAGGATATTTTTATTACTCTCCCTTTTAAGGTCAAAACAGGTTCACAGAACATCTTAAAACATTTCCATTATTGTTTCCACTGAATGCAGGGAAAACACAATGTTGACTTCATTAAAAAAAATAGAATAAAATCACACCAGAGATAATTTTCATAAATTAGATGTACAGATTTCACCGTTCAGAAACAAGGATGTCAAACGTGTCCAGCTTGTGCAACCTCCTACACAGAACCACAAGGTTTCAATGATAAGTGACTGAAACCACAGCATTCAGCTTTTTGTCCAAGACTACTGAACGGGTGCTGCTGCTTCAGTGCGATGACTGATCGCACATTAGTTTTTCCAGGGTTCACTAAAGGTGCTGACCTGTGAAAAAAAATGAAACTCATTATGCAAAGCAACTGTATCATTTAGCTTTTAAAATGTGTACGAGTGCACACATACAAGATAAATCTGTTGATGCAGGTATACACATTCACGTCCGTTATATGCATCTGGCTGCAGATGAAGGCAGACCAAACAATTTCTGAAAAAATAGACCAAGCTTTCTTCTTTTCTAGAGATATTGCATTTGAGTTTTATCTGTTAAGTATAGTGTTAGGCAGCAGCCTCTGAGCATTCTGTAACCTGCTGTAAACAATGAAATAGTACATTTACTGAAGCATAAAGTCATAACAAAGTACATTATATTCAAAGAGTATGAGAAATGGGATAGTTCGTATTGCTATTTAAGACAATTCTATAATGGTATAGTTGCAACCACATTGGAGATGTTATTGATATAATTGCCTGGAAAACAAAACAAACAAACAAAACTCAACAAAATGATGACATAATACCAGCAAATTTTAAATGTAGACCAGGCTGCTGGGTTAAGACTTTCCTAAATTCTCTTCCTTAAAATGATTCTGTCAGAAACTATGTTTCAGCCACAGTGAAAGGGCTTAATTCTATTTGCACTGGCAAACAATTGCTGTTCCTGGAATGCTGTTGCTCAGTGATACCCAGTGGCCCCCTCGGCCCTGTGTGCTAGGAGGTACTTGTTGCGTAGGCGATCCATGGTTTTGATCTGCAGCAGAGCCATTAGAAGAGGAGTTTCTGACTTCTAGCAATGCATTGCTGGTTGTAAACCTGTTGTGCTATGGAGAAAGCAGAGTTGGTAGTAAAATAATTCTAATCAAAATGAAGTAAAACGAACAGGCAAACTCCCTGTTTGCTAGAAGGACTTTTAACTTGGATTGTTCCATTGATACCAGCAGCTGTAACAGAGGCTCCTGAAAGACAAACTGTGACGCAGAGCCACAAGAGAATGGTGGTAACATGGAGTAGAAAGTTCTTTAACTGGCTTTGTTGCTGAAGAAGGCACTTGTGCTACTACAGCTTGAGGTTTGCAGGGGTGCCTCCTGCATCAGCCTGCTCTTTGGTTGCACAGCGTGACAATAGAGCCTCTTCTCTGTGCAGGAGCTGAAGCACAAGCATCTGATGGCTCACACAGTGGTTTGCAGCACTCAGTGTAATAGTGCACAATAGAAGCTGAGGAGCTGGTCTGCAAGCAGATATGTGGAGTCACTTCAAGGGGAGGCAGACCACATCCTCCTGTGTATTCTCACGCTGCTCCTCTGCATTCACCATTTCTCACTGTGCCACAGAAATGCCCCAGCATGATATGGCATGACACAGTTCCTTGACCTGGGAAACAAAAGCCATGGCAGGAAAACAATGTCAATGAGTTTACTGATCTTTAAACCAGAAGTATCATTAAATAATTCTAATAAAAACTGTGTATGCATGCATAGACATTAAGACATTTATGATCAGTAGTAAAATCTAAAGATATTTTGGTAATGCAAGAGAACCCAAAACTATTTAGAAATAAAAGCAGTATTCAGTTATCTGCTTCTACCAACACATGCCAAAAAAGTAAAACATAATAAAAAGCAAAAAACTGTATTTGATTTTAAAGATAAATTGATGTAGAAGGTATCTGTAAGGAAGATAAAATCAGTGCATATTTGCTGGAAAAGAGGGAAGAGAGGCCACAGTCCCTCCCCCCCAAAAATGTGTCCTATTGTTTGCTCTAGACCACGCAATAGGGAAACAATTTTACTGCTGGAGAGATCCGAAACCAGCACAACAGCCTCATCAAACCCAGAGAATGACTTCCAAAATCCGTAACAAACCTCTAATTTTGATATTGAAATACAGACTGCAATGTCAACACTGACACAACAGGAAGGCCCAAAAGCCAGTGGTTTTTGTATGTCACACACGGCCAGAAACTGCAGCAGATTTGCCCATTCTGAGCCTGTAGTGGCTTGGTTTCTACTTGTTTGATAGTGTTGATATTGTAAAATAGAAGTAAATCTCTTTCAACTTCTGTTCCCCCTCTTCATAAACATTAATAAATTAACAAAGACTGAACTTTGTGTTGTTCTGCTTTCTCTGTTCCCTGTCCAACATCTGCATACATCTCATTTGACTTCTCTTTCTGAACATTTTGAATGAACAGGACATTTACATTTGGGTTTCAGTACCACCACGTCACAGTCTGTCACACCACACGCCATACTGTTCTTTAATGGAATTCTTCCAAAACGTGTTACATACAGAGAACACTCCTGTGGTAGAAAGATTGCACACCCGCTGGCCATGCTTCCTAAGATCTGAAGAGCCACAGAGAAATGCCACCATGCAGCTGCAGGAGATTTCACTGCTGCAATACAGAAAAGGAGCACTGACTTTTCTTGCTTATAGCCCTCATCTCCCTGTACACGTGTGTCTTTCAGCTGAAGAACTACTTTCTGTCCTCAAATTGCTATCTTGATATCCTGACAGCTGCTGCCTTGTCTTCTGAAGGTGGCTGTCCTTTAGTAGTGGAGAAAGATGTGCTGTGAATAAAAATGAAGATGCCCTATAGAAGCTGGAACACAGCACAAGCACAGAAAAAGCTCTGAGCTCTTATCGTTACCAAGATTGAACTGATAATGACTTATGCGGGAGAGCACAGCCGAGATGTGAAAGAGACTGGATGACGTGAATGCCTGCAATGGCAGAAGACTAGACTCAGTGACCCAGCAAGGCTTCTTCCTTCCTACATGCAGAGAAAGGTACTACCCAGAAGGTGGGTGATTGCTCCAACAATAAAAGGAAGATTTGAAGTGATATGGCCTCAAAAGGACAGTTCTTCTGAGCATCTTGTGCTGTGCATAGCTGGTCCAGCCTTGCATCAGGCTCTGGATGTCTCAATACAGGCATTTCTCAATACAGTTTGTCATTATTTGTTGATAAGAAATACATCAACCACACTTCATGCATAAGAAAACACCATTGGGTTGACTGAGGAGCAAGACGCGCCTGGTATTTAACAAATATACAACTACTGTTAACGATAAATTGTTCTGCTTTACAGTCATTGTCACTCCTTCAGAAAAAAAAAAAAAAGGAAAAAAAAAGAACACTAAGACTATAACGCTTGGTACAAAGCAAATGAGACAGGACGGGAACATTTGCAAATGGCTTTGCATTACTCATGCATCTTCACTAACTGAAGCTGTTTCCAAAACTTAGACAAAAACATGAACAGGGCTGTACTAGATTCAGAAAGTCTCTGCCTGTTCTTGAAAGCAGGTTCTATTTTCCATCCAAGTCTCTTTCATTCTTACATTACCTTTTTCTGTTGCGTGATGGCATTGCATCTCAGCCCTATCTG